GGGAATTTGGACCTTTTTGATTTGGTACTGAAATAAGTTAAGACTTTGGGGCTATGAGAATGAAGTGAATGTATTTGCATGTGAGATGGACAAGAGCCTTGGGGGCACAGGGGTGGAATGCTGTGGCTTGAACGTCCCCGCAAGCTTGTGTTGAAACTTAACCCCCAAAATGGTAGTGGAAAGTAGGACCTCTAAGAGGTGATTGGATCTTGAGGACTGTGCCCTCATAAATGTATTGATTCATTCATGGAGTAATGGTTGTCATGGGCGTAGTTCTGATGGCTTTGTAAAGAGAACAAGTAAGAAGGTTAGCTCTCTCTAGCTCTTACCATTGTTGCATGTTATATCCTGGTCACTACGGGACTCTGTAGAGTTCCCACCAAGAAGAAGGCCTTGACCAGATGCTCCCCTGGACCATGGACTTCCCAGCCTCCATAACTATAAGAAATACATTTTATTTTTTTATAAATTACCCAGTTTCAGGTATTCTGTTATAAGCAACAGAAATGGATTAATACAGGGTGTCAGGTACCCTCAAAAATAAAGTTAAGATCATTCGATCAGGCTATGTTCCCTGCATAACCACACTCACACCTACATGGGTTATCTAGTTGTGATATCATGTGGCTTTGATTTACATTTACATAAAGGAGAAGTGGGATAGTAAGTGGCAATACTTCCTGCTGTTGCCAAAGCACTGCTCTGGGACGTGGCCTGCTGGCTGATCTCGAGTAACACTTCTCTCACAGAGCACATAGTGAGTTCCACCCTGTGTCAATTTGTCCATCTCCCTGCAGGGTCACCATAGCCAAACACAATCCCTTCTGAGATTTCAATAGTTGGGTCCATTAAAGGCAGGGTGGCTGCTTGAAGCAAGGATGTGCCCAGTGTGGACCAAGTGTGTTCCCAGACCAGCAGCATCCACATCAAATGGAATTGTTAGAAATGCAGATTCCCCAACCCCAACCCAGGCCTACTGAATCAGAATCTCTAGCATGGGCCCAGCAATCTATGTTGCAACAAGTCCTCCAGGGGACTGTGATGCTTGCTAAAATTTGGGAACCACTGGCTTGGCAAGTATGGCTTCAGAAGAATTCATTGGGTTCCTATGAACACCACTTGGTCTTAGTCCAATCAAGTGATAACTCATGCCCCCAGTTCCCATTGAACTGTATCTTCTTCCACCATTTCTTAGAAGCCCTTCTCTTTCAAGTACTGGGGATGGACTAGGGCTCTGTAGCAAAAAAGTGGCCTTCAAGAATTAATATATCTAAGACCTCGATGAGAATCTGGTCTAAGAAGACCTCTCTGTTAATGTGCTAGTCACTCCTCCACAGAGATGTCAGCAGGAAGTGGTATTGTCTTCTGCTTTTGACATTGGCCACCTAACCAAATACAGTAAGAAGAAACCTAATGCAGCATTTCTCTGAATTTCTGCAGGCCTAGTATACAGAACGCATTCAAGTATCTGAGGTCTACTGGTAGGGAAATGTACACTGATCAACAGGGAAGTACCATATAGGGCCAAAGGCACTGTAGTGGTTGTGGCTCTGGGTCAGGTCCTGGCTTGACTACTAACTGGTTGTATGACTGCAGGTGACTTCTTTCACCCAAAAAGGGCTCATTAGCCTCACCCGTAAAATAGAGAGTGCACACAGACCCCAGGGCCTCTTTCACTGCTATCTGTTGTTTTGTTTAGCAATGATACCTTGCAGTCTTAGTGATTTGGGAATCAAGAATGGTGACTAGTGACTTCAAAATGGAAAGAGAAAGGAATATAGGCTGAGCAGTGACAGAAGAGCAAGTACCCTGCTGGCCTATGAGTGCTGCAGGCTGTGACCATGGTTCTGTGTTCTGAATACAAACCACTTAGGCTTGTCCCTTGGAATACACTCTAGACATTAGATTGATTTGGCTTATTTGGTTGTCTTGGATATGTTCTAATTCTGGAGGGGACACTGGCCCCTTCTAGAAGAAGGATGGTCTCAATGCAGACCTCTGCTCAGCCTGAATCTTAAAATTATAGCTTGAGTCAGAGTGGCTTCTCATTTTTCTCTCACTTTAAACTCAAGGAACACCTTTTTTTCCTCTTGTTATATAGACTTTCCTCTTCTTAGCTCAGTCTCAAAGATTATGCCAAAAAAGCAGATGCAAAGCCATGTCTACCCCCTTCTCTTCCCCTGAGGTGTAGGCTTTATAAAAGATTTCCCTTGTTAAATGTTAGCTTTCCAAGCTAAGGGCCTTCTCTCTTTTTTTTTTTTTTTTTCCTCTTAAGCCTATTGCATAACAATCTCTGTTTAACCTTTTGCCAAATTCTTTACTTCTCATTGTCAGAGGTTACTACGAGTGTTTGAACAGGTAACGTCTACCTTTGAACCTCTATTGCAACAGGTTTAAAGTTTCCAGGCAAGCTTGCTGGCCACCTATGACAGTACACAGTGGCTTCAGGTGTGGCTCAGTCCCAGGAGCTGTGGAAAGGGCAGGGGTGCCTGAGTGTGGTGCTGAACCAATACAGCCAGCTGTGAGGGGCACATTTCCTGGACACAGGAAGGGAAAGGATTCTTCTGAAGTAAGCTGCAATACTACTACTGCTCTGTATTTTATATATCTATGTGATTGTGGGGAAGGGGGTGGTTTGGAGGTAAGAAGGTGGGATATGTGTCTATTCTCAGCCTAAGGCTCTTTTATAGTGTGAAATAACATTTGCTTAAGTAGTAATCTCAGCTGACTTGTGTGGGAGACAAAGAAGTAATCAATTGGAAAGGGGGTGGAGACATTTGAGCTGTCTCAATGCTAGCAGGGGATATAATTGGAAGAGAATATTAATTTCACTAAATGCAATAAAGGTTTAAAACCTTTAAAGATTAAAGACACAACCAGTATGTAGGTCTCCTTCATCTTCCATTTACAAATTTCTGTCTTGGTATGGTTAGAAGAGCCCTTCATCAGCTATCGAGGCAGGTTCCCATTTGGAATGAAGGAGGTGGGGGGAATCATAGCAGACATTTTATTTAAGTGCTAGGGATTGTACTAGGTACATGATGTGTGTTACCTCTTTGGCTGCCACCTCCTATAAGCTGAGTGGTATCGCTCCCATTTCATAAATGAATAATGTGTCGCTGGGCTGTTGAACAGCATGGCCTGTGCTACATAGCTAGCAGGTGGTGTGACTTGGATTTGAGTCCTGATCAGTTTGTCTCTAAAGCCTACTCCATCATGCAGAATTCTTGTGTGTTGCCATAGCCTTCTGTTATTCCCTGAAATCTCGACGGTGTCACTCATGTGCACATGGGATTGGATAGGAGTGCAGTTCTGATGGGACTTTAAAATGACTCAGACCTTTCTGAACTTGAGCATTCGCTCCTGGAGGAGACCAATAAAAAAGTAAAGCCTCATCTTCTCCTGACTCTGAGTCCTTTATCTGCTTGATAAAAGGAGAGAGAACCCATGAAGAGCCCAGCAGTGTTAGAATGGCTGAAACTGCCCTTGCTGAACTTGAGCATTCGCTCCTGGAGGAGACCAATAAAAAAGTAAAGCCTCATCTTCTCCTGGCTCTGAGTCCTTTATCTGCTTGATAAAAGGAGAGAGAACCCATGAAGAGCCCAGCAGTGTTAGAATGGCTGAAACTGACACCCATTCTGCCATCCTCTGCTCTGCTCTGGAGGAAGCCTCGACTTTAGCACAGTCTTGCGTACCACTGCAAGTTTTCAAATATTATGATTTTGACAACACAGTCATTAGAATTAATAAGGAAGTACTTAAAAAAAGAAATTGTCAAATAATTGAATAAATTGTACTATTATCACACTCAAAAAAAAAAAAAAAGAATGGCTGAAACTGACACCCATTCTGCCATCCTCTGCTCTGCTCTGGAGGAAGCCTTGTGGGGAGCTGAGCTCCTGAATCTAAGCACAAGCAAAGTTCTCCAGCCACAAGGTGCCCCAGAGGACAGAATGCCAGGGGGCTACCTTTTTCATCTCCCCATCCTTCCTCCTTCTCCCATGTCCACAGGAAGTTCCTGTGAGGCCAGGGACCAGCTCTTATGCTCTCTGAGATGTGGCACAGCTCTCCCTGGCTTTTTTAGTTGGAGGCTTTTAGGACCTCCTCTCTGGAGACAGAACAAATCCTAATCTAGCTCTAGAAAAGAGCCCAGCTCATGCTGAATTCCTGGGAGGCTTCTTGCAGGGATCAAGGCTGGAGAAAATGCTGCTGCTGCTTAATTCTGAGGTGTCTGGGGCAGGGAGGCAGGGAAGGGCTGGAGAACATGTAACTTCTGCTTCCAAATCTGAGAGTGGCAGCTCCAGTGCCCCTCTGTGGCCATAGCCCTGGGCAAATCAAAGGAAACTACTCACCAGGAGGTCCTGGTGAGAAAGGTAGCAGAAAACATTCTCAGCTTAAATTGTAAGATGCGAAAGGCTGAGCTGATGGATCAGAGGAAAAGGAACCACATCAACTTAATGACTCGCTGTCTCTGTCATTCTGACTTGCTTGTTGGCTGTGTTGGCTCGGTCAGATCTGCTTCAGGGACTGAGCAGGCAGCTCTGGGGATTGGGGAGAGGGGTTCCTGAAATAGGAGGACATGGTCCTGAGACAAATCTGATGGCTGAGGTGGCCTCTGGCTGGACTTTCCTGTCCTGCGAATCCAGCAGGACACAGTGTCACCTCCGTTTCTCTGACACTCGTGGTCTGAAGGGGCACCTCAAGTCATTTGAGTTTCGTTTTCTGTCTTGGTTTAGAGGTAGCTGAACAAAGGACAGGGTAGATTGTGTTGCTGCAAGCTTGTTGTTTCAGCCTTAGGGGCTGGGGTTAAAGGCTTTGAAAACGAGCCAGGGTAGCTTTGGCGCTTCTCTCCTGGTCAGAACGCTTCCACTTTCAGTTGTGAAAGAAAAACCAGGAAGTGAAGTCCCCGAGCACGTTAGAAAGCCCGGCCATGGCCTGGCTCAGGACAGCTCTGAGGCGGGCAGAGCTGGGGATGCTGTGAGCTGGGGCTGGCTGCCTGCATGGACACTCTGAAGCCACCCTGTCCCTCGAGGAACCAGGGTTGAGGGAAGAGCAACAGGGACTCGTGGGCCAGGAAGAACTCGGAGCCAGGAAGCCCCATTCACTGGAAGCACCAAGAAATGCAGCCCCCTCACAGGGTAAGGGGACCATCTGGGGGACGGGAACATTATGCAGCCAGGGTCTTGGGAGTGTGCAACAGAGGCTGGGGGGTCATCCTGACCCCCAACCTCAGTGAAGCAACTTAGAATCTAGAGCCTGCTGTGTCCCATTTGCCTGGCATGCTCTCTCTCCCTCAGTCTCTAAGGGACAACTTTACACCCTGTGTATCAGGAGGGGCGAGGAGAAGGAGGAATGTGGGGCATGGATCAGAATTTCTTTCTCCTGCATCTCTTGGGGGAGGTGAACCACAACAGAGACGTATTTTGTGGACCCAAGCATCTGGCATAGCTCTCCGGTGGGGAGCTGGTTTGCTCTCATTTTTCATGTTGGACTTTGACTCCCTCCTACAGTAAGAGCTGATGGAAGAGATTGATAGGATGGTTTGTGAATGAAGCTGGGTTTACTTTAGAGGTAGGGCCACAGGTTAAGTCTAAGATGCATTTCAAAGACCTTTGGGGAGTGAGCATTGGGAAGGGACTCCATAGTTGGGCCCTGGTACCTTCTGTGGGTATCAGTCTTTTTTGGTGGTCTGAAAGGTAGGATTGAATCTGTAGCTCCAACTTGTAGGTGATGGATACTCTATAACAAAAGCAGTCTTAAAAATGAAATAAAAGACTGATTTAGTAAAAAAGAAAAAAAATGGGGTAATTGGTTTTGCTTAATACCACCCTTTATATTCTAGCATGCAATCACTCTCTGGTGGTCCCTCCAATTGATAAGTATTTGGGATGAACACAGAATATGTCTCAGAAGAGGCACAGCATAAAATTTTGTAAGCATCACTTGTGTGTTTGGCTTAATAAAAGGAACAAAACCTTAAATAAAACAAGAGTCTTGAATGCAAATGCTTATAGAGCAGGCAAGTGATATAGATAAGTAAAGTAGATGGTGTGTAATAAGATGCTGGTGGTGAGGACTCTAGAAAAATTCAACTCAAGCATACTCCAGATAGCTGCATTCAAATGTACTTGTTTTAAACACTGTCCAAACCTAGCAGAATGTTTCAGCCAAGCATTTAGCTGGGTCTAATAAAAATAGCCTTCTACTATAACTTCTTGAGGACAAAGAGACCACAGTATCAGTGTGTCACTGCACACCTGAGCAGTAAACATGCAGCGAGGCTATAGGTACTACCAGGAGAGTGGAGGTTGAGGAAGGAGAGAGAGCTATGCATGCAGAGAGGGAAGATAAGCCACTGAAGTACCAGCACACAGTAGGTACTCATATTTAATTAAGACAGTCTTCTGAGGTGGATAGTTTCACCATTTGAGGGTTGAGAAAGTAGGATCAGAGAGGTGAGGCAGCTTTCCCAAGGTCACAAAGCAAGCAAGTTGTCCCACTGGGATTGAAGCTTCAGGCAGTCTGATGCTAAAAACTGTCCTTCATTCACTCACGTGAAGGATTAGCTTTCCTTCAGATTTCCTGGAAAATTTAATTTGTAAACAGATTTTCATATATAGTTAGCTGGGCAGGTACTGAGTTTGCACATTTATTACATGATTTTCAGGTTGACATTTTTCTATAAATATTATGGCTCCATTCATTGAACATTTTCTATGGGACAGCATCGTGCTTAATGTCTTATGGGGCTTTTAAATCTCAATATTCAACACAATCCTATGAAATAGATACTTTGTTTTATAGATGAGAAAACTGAGGCTTAGAGATAGTGAATCTGGACAACTATGAATAGATCAGATCTAAAATTTGGACTCTGGCTCCCTTAGCTCCGAGGGTGAGCTGTGCCTCAATGTCTGATGAGGCTACTTTTAGCAAATAGGCCAAAGAATTAGAAACGGGGAAATTTTCTTTTTTTAAAATCCTCCCACCTCAAATCCATAGAGATAAGAAGCAGATTGCTGGTTGCCAAGGCTGGGGAGTAGGAAGGCATGGGGAGTGACTGCTTAACGGGTACATGGCTTCCTCTCAGGGCAATGAAAATGGTTTGGAACTAGACAGAGGTGGTGGTCGCACAACACTGTGAATGTACTGAATGCCATTGAACTGTTCACTGCAAAATGGTTAATTTTATGTTATGTGAACTGCACCTCAATTTAAAAAAAACTTCTCCCACCCCCAGGCAGGTAAGTTTCGGAACCAGGATTTGGCAATTTTTTAGAAACCAGGAATGCAGTGTCTGTTCCTGTCTGTCTCCTATGCCTGGCCAACAGATGCACTGACCCTGGGCTGGGGTGCAGCTGGAGGTGACACTTGTGCTGGCAGCTCCATGCAGGGGTGACGTGTTCCCAGCAGCCATGAGTTCAGGCATCATTGTTGTCACCATGTCCTGCTGTAAATGCGTCTAGCTCTGTTTCTCCCATATGTGACTGCACGTCCTAAAGTCAGAAATGGACTCTCTCAATAGCTCTTCCCCAGTGCAGGGCCTGACACTTCCCATGTTACCAATTCATGTTGTTTGAATTAATACATGAGTTTTGGAGTTTGGAAGGTCAGACAGCCCGTGTGCTGCTGTGGACAGGCCATGGTATCAACCCTCTTTGGGGATGCTGCTGGTAGATCTCTCAGTCTTCATGGGTCTTTCTCTTCTAAGAGTTGTGAGAGGCTTGTGGGAGGATTTGGGTGCCAAGAGATGGGGGAGGAGGCTAGGTCAAAGACTATGCCTTCTCCAACTACAAGTGCTCTGTTTAGATAGAAATGAGGAGCCATTGAGACCTTTGCATGTAAGTGGAAGGGCAGTTATTATACAAAGACCATGACCTTCTCTTCTCTTTTGGGATGTCTCGTAATAGAACATTTAATATTGACCAGGACTTGAAAACTGAGGTAAATGGAAGAGGGACAAGGAAGCTAGTCTTTACGGAGGGCTTCCCATATACCCAACGACGTACCAGAAGCTCTACACAGAGTGGACCTTTCAAGTAGGGATTA